TAAGCATAGACCTTGCCATATCAATGAGTGTTCTATTCTTCCTCTCAACAAGGCCATTTGATTGTGGAGTGTACTTGGCCGAGAATTGATGCCTAATTTCAAATTCATCACACAACTCATCAATTCTAGTGTTCTTGAACTCACTACCATTGTCACTTCTAACTCTCTTGATGGTTGTTTCAAACTCATTGTGAATGCCCTTGACAAATGATTTAAATGTTGCAAACACATCACTTTTGTCCACTAGAAAGAATACCCATGTGTATCTAGTGTAGTCATCCACTATCACAAATCCATATTTGTTTCCACCGATACTAGTGTATTGTGTTGGCCCAAACAAATCCATGTGCAATAACTCAAATGCTTTATAAGTACTCATCATGCTTTTCTTAGGATGGGTGTTTCCAACTTGTTTGCCGGCTTGACAAGAGCTACAAAGCTTATCCTTTTCAAACACAACATCTTTCAAGCCTTTAACTAAGTCATGCTTAATCAATCTATTCAATTGTTTCATTCCAACATGACCAAGCCTTCTATGCCATAACCAACCCATGCTAGACTTAGTGAATAAGCATGTAGATAATCTAGCTTCACTAGCATTGAAATCAACCAAGTATAGATTCTCATATCTAAAACCTTTGAAGATCAAGTTAGAGCCATCTACACTTATGATTTCTACATCATCTACCCCAAATATGCATTTGAATCCAAGATCACACAATTGAGCTACAAATAGCAAATTAAAGTTCAAGCTCTCTACTAGCAACACATTGGATATGCTCATGTCATTGGATATTGCAATCTTACCAAGACCTTTGACCTTGCCTTTTCCATTGTCATCAAATGTGATACTATCATAACCATCATTGCCATTGATGTTGATTGAGTTGAACATTCTTACATCACCGGTCATATGTTGAGTGCACCCACTATCAAGAACCCAATGCCTTCCTCCGGCCTTATAATTAACCTACAAAAGAAGATCAATTCTTTTTAGGTACCCAAACTTGCTTGGGTCCTTGAAGGTTAGTCACTAGGCTCTTTGGCACCCAAATGGCTTTCTTCTTTGAGCCCATCCATGGTTTGCCAATGAACTTAGCCTTTACACCATTTGTACCATTAATAAGCACATAGGAAGAATTAAGCTTAATGGAGGACACATTAACATTTTTACTTTTGTTGGTGCATTCTTGCTCTTTATGACCAACTTGCTTGCACCTAGTGCAAAACCGACCATTGTTCTTCACAAAACTAGTCTTGTGAGGAGCAAAGGCCGCCTTGCCTTTCTTGGGGGTATAGCTCAATCCCTCTTTGTAGAGAGAAGCTCTTTGGCTACCCAAGCACATAAGCAAGCGGTCCTCACCACCATAAGACTTAGCTAAGGTGTGAGTGAGCTTATTAACCTCTTTCTTGAGATTCTCATTCTCAACCACTAGTGAGGCATCACAAGTGAGACCATCACCACTAGATGAGGTGGTAGTGGAAGTACTACAAGAAGGGTTAGTAGAAGGAGCAATGATAGGCATAGATAGTGATTCATCAATTATATCACAAGTTAAACCTACATCACAAGTATCAACATGCTTCTTTTTATTTTGCTCATCAAGTAATGAAGAATGAGCCTTTTCAAGCTTTTTGTGAGCTTTGCCAAGCTTCTCATTGGCTTCCTCTAGCCTCTCATGAGATGCATTGAGCTCATCAAAGGCTTGCTTAAGGGCTTTTAGTTCCTTACGCAAGCTTTTGCATTCCCTTCTCTTGATGTCAAAGTGTTCTCTAGCATTTTCTAGCATGTCGAATAATTCATCCTTAGTAGGTTCATCATTATCACTATCACTATCATTTTCTTTTTCATGTTCATTATCATCATCATGTTCTTCATCACTTTCATCATCACAAGATTGTACCGTAGTGGCCTTAGCCATGAAGCATGATGAAGAGTCGAAGAGAGAAGGCTTTTCATTGATGGCAATGCTTGCTAGAACCTTCTTCTTGGTGGTCTTGTGATCATCACTATCATCATCATCATCATCATCACTTGAGGAAGCATCACTATCCCAAGTGACCACATATGAACCACCCTTCTTCTTCTTGAAGGCCATCTTGTCCTTCTTCTCTTTCTTTTCCTTCTTGTCCTTCTTCTTGTTCTTTTTGTTGTCATCATCATTGTCTCTATTGTATGGACATTGAGCAACAAGATGATCTTTGCTTCCACACTTGAAACATCTTCGTGACTCTTCCTTGTTCTTGGATGAAGACTTCTTTCTTCTAGCATGATAGCCCTTCTTCACCATGAACTTGCCAAATCTCTTGACAAATAGAGCCATCTTCTTATCATCATCATCATCCCATGATTCATCTTCTTCACTTGATGTTTCTTGCTTAGCTTTGCCCTTGGATGATGTGGCCTTGAATGCCACGCTCTTCTTCTTCTCATCCTTCTTCTCATCTTTCTTCTCCTTCTTTTCTTCCTTCTCATCATCATCTCTATAAGTATCATCGGTCATTATATCTCCCAACACTTGGTTTGGTGTCATTGTGTCCAAACCACTCCCCACTAGAATAGTGACCAATGTACCAAATCTTGAGGGTAAGCATCTTAAGAACTTGTGGGAGAAGTCTTTATTCTTCACTTCTTCTCCAAGTGCTTTGAGATCATTGATAAGCACTTGAAGCCTATGGAACATCTCTGGCACACTCTCATCATCCTTCATCTTGAAGCTTGCAAACTTTTCTTTGAGAATGTAAGCCTTTGCACCCTTCATGGCTTGAGTGCCCTAAAATGATTCTTCCAACTTCTTCCATGCCTCATGAGCCATCTCAATATTTTTGACTTGCTCAAATGTTCTTTCATCAATTGCATCATGAATAGCACTTAGAGCAATGTCATTGTTTTGGAGAAGTACTTCTTCGACCGCGGTGGGATTCTCTGGATCTTCAATCTCAATTTTTGTTTCTACCACCTTCCAAACCTTCCTATTGATTGACTTGATATAAGTTGTCATCTTGGCCTTCCAATAGGGATAGTTGGAGCCATCAAATTGGGGTGGCTTCTTGGTGTTGTTGATTTGAGCCATTTTAACACCGAAGGTTGTTAAGCCTCAAATAACGGTGACCTCGGCTCCGACACCACTTGAAAGGTCCTAATGGCTAGAGGGAGGGTGAATAGCCTAATAAAATTTCTACAATAACACTCAACAAAATGGTTAGACAATTATGAGGCGAAGCAAGAGTTGCGCTAGCCTACTCAAAATGCAAGCCACCTACCACAATTCTAGTTTAGATGGAGTATATCCACACAATAGCTATATCACTACAATAAGGTAGTGTGCTCTCAAATGCTAACTAAAGAGCCACACTAACCAAACTAATAAGCTCTCACAACTAGTTACACTAAAGAGCTTGACAACTAGTTTATGGTCATGTAAAGAGTGGGCAAGAAGGTTATACCGTAGTGTAGATGTATGAACCAATCAATCACAAGTGTGGATAACAATGAAGACCAATCACCTCGGAATCAAAGGATGAACACAATGATTTTTTACCAAGGTTCACTTGCTTGCCGGCAAGCTAGTCCTCGTTGTGGCGATTCACTCACTTGGAGGTTCACGCGCTAATTGGCTTCACACGCCAAACCCTCGATAGGGTGCCGCACAACCAACACAAGATGAGGATCATATAAGCCACGAGCAATCCACTAGAGTACCTTTTGGCTCTTCACCGGGGAAAGGTCAAGAACCCCTCACAATCACCACGATCGGAGCCGGAGACAATCACGGCCCTCCGCTCAACGATCCTCGCTGCTCCAAGCCATCTAGGTGGCGGCAACCACCAAGAGTAACAAGCGAAACCCACAGCGAAACACGAACACCAAGTGCCTCTAGATGCAATCACTCAAGCAATGCACTTGGATTCACTCCCAGTCTCACTATGATGATGAATCAATGATGGAGATGAGTGAGAGGGCTTTGGCTAAGCTCACAAGGTTGCTATGTCAATGGAAATGGCCAAAGATATGAGCTATAGCCGGCCATGGCGCTTAAATAGAAGCCCCCACGAAATATAGCCGTTATACCCCTTCACTGGGCATAATGCGGGCTGACCGGACGCAGAGCCCCAAGCGTCCGGTCGCTCGTAGTCAGCCACGTGTCTAACTCCAACGGTCATCTGCCTTGCCCAAACGGACGCTCCGGTCAGTTGACCGGACGCTGGACCCTCAGCGTCCGGTCGTTTCCAGTAAGGGTCCAGAACCAATTTTTATCGACCGGACGCGTCCGGTCATGCTTGACTGGGCACAACCCAGCGTCCGGTGCTTAACCCGAAGCGATGTGCAGACCGACCACTTGACCAGACGTAGCGCTTCAGCGTCTAGTCTCCGAGCCACCCAGCGTCCGGTCAATAGACCGACACCAGCATCTCACTGTTACACATGACCGGACGCGCCGGTCCCTCAGAGGTCTAGTGTTCGGTCACTGTATAACCAGTGACATTAACTCGTTTTTACTTTTAACTTCTCCACCCTTGCTCAAATGTGCTAACCACCAAGTGTATCACCTTGTGCACATGTGTTAGCATATTTTCACAAATATTTTCAAGGGTGTTAGCACTCCACTAGATCCTAAATGCATATGCAATGAATTAGAGCATCTAGTGGCACTTTGATAACCGCATTCCGATACGAGTTTCACCCCTCTTAATACTACGGCTATCAACCCTAAATGTGATCACACTCTCTAAGTGTCTTGATCACCAAAACAAAATAGCTCCTATGGTTTATACCTTTGCCTTGAGCTTTTTGTATTTCTCTTTCTTCTTTCCAAGTCCGAGCACTTGATCATTACCACGGCATCATCTTCATCATGCTATGATCTTTGTTTGCTTCACAACTTGGTGTGTGCTACCTATCTCATGATCACTTGATAAACTAGGTTAGCACTTAGGGTTTCATCAATTCACCAAAACCAAACTAGAGCTTTCAGACGCCCATTGGCGGGGGCACGCAGCTGAACCCGGGCGGGACGTGGACCATCAACGTCCCCGCCGGCACCAGCTCCGGCCGCGTGTGGGGCCGCACGGGCTGCTCCTTCAACGGCAACAGCGGGAGCTGCCAGACGGGCGACTGCGGCGGCGCGCTCGCCTGCACCTTGTCTGGGAAGCCTCCCATGACGCTGGCCGAGTTCACGATTAGTGGCAGCCAGGACTTCTATGACATCTCGGTCATCGACGGCTTCAACATCAGCATGGCCTTCTCCTACAGCACCGACGTGGGGCTGGTGTGCAAGGACTCGAGCTGCCCCGACGCGTACCACCAGCCTAACGACATGAAGACCCATGTGTGTGGTGGTAACAGCAACTACCAGGTCACCTTCTGCCCGTGAGGCTGTATCCGAGAGTGATTTCCAGGAATAAGACGCACGTGTCACTACTACAGAAGTTAACTGTTGGGGCGGCTCTAGAGCCTCTGTAGGGGTGGCTGTGCCAGCCGCCCTTCCCAGGGTGTTCCTACAGAGGGTGCCTCTGTTGGGCCAGTTTCCTGACCGCCCCTGCAGTGCCCTCTGTAGGGGCGGCTGGTGTTTTCAGCCGCCCCTACAGTGCCCTCTATAGGGGTGGCTGGTAATATCAGCCGTCCTTGTAGTGGACTTCTATAAGGGCGGCTGTATCACCAGCCGCCCCTGATGTGTGTATTTGTAAGGGCGGTTCAATCAAGAACCGCCCCTACAGTGGATTTTTCAGCAAAAAAATAAATAATTCAAATTCAAATCTGACCATATATATATAATTCAAATTTGAATCTGACCACCACAAATATACATATATACATCCACAAACACAAGACCATTATTTAGAACATCATCACAAGTCATAATTCACAAAAGTCCATCATTACAACATAATCCATTATGAAGTCTATCATTATAACATAGTCCATTAAGAAATCCACACGTCCACATGCAAACATTGTGTCACATAAGCTACATATTTGTCGTGCAGCTCGATGATTTTCCACACGAAGACCTAAAAAACAAGAATAAATGTAAGCTAACATAACACACAACAAAAGCAGAGTGCGATCAAGATACACACATATTCCTGCATGCCAACCATATCCTTCTTCTCTGGCTGTATAAGCAATGATTTGTAAAAATAATAATTTAGGGAAGATAAATTAAAAAATTAATCAAATCAAATATAGCAAGAAGAATCAAACAGCTAGGTGGCAGAATATCAAGCATACAAAAGTGGTAATGTAAAGAAAAGGACTGGGAAATGGGAACTACTTAGCAACCTAACAATAGAGGTTAGATGAAGGTTGTTACAAACTATTAATGTGGAGGTTTTGCTGTTTATATATATGAATCAAAAAGTGCATAAAGGTAACATAAATAATTTAACAGCTAAAGAAACTGCACCTTCTTATTACTAGCAGAATCTTCTGCTTGCTTTACCAAGGCTGTGCCTTCATTTGTAACATGCTGCGGACAAATATAACTCAATCAGAACTGAATATCATGGTTCAAAGGAATAAAATGAGTGAGCTAAAAAAGAAAAGAGGCACCCTGCAAGGGAAATTATTACCATTTTGAACATGTTAGATATAGGCTCCAGACCACAGGTGATTTTGGAGAAGAGCCTGTACATCCTAGAAAGATCCTCAACCTACAGTAATAGAGGGATGTAATGAATATTAAATACTGTTAGGAAGTCATTCATTAGATAATAATAATAATAATAATAATAATAATAATAATAATAATAATAATAATAATAATAATAATAATAAGGTTTTCAATAATAATAATAATAATAATAATAATAATAATAATAATAATAATAATAATAATGTTTTCAATCCAACCTTATCATCACCAAGCAAAGCAGAACATCCAGAATATAATGTTCCTTCTCCAACAGCGGGGTTGCATACTGAGCAAGCAATTCATTTTGCACTTTCTGTCGAAATTCAAGATTATAACAATGCAAGGGTCATACGGGAAAATATGTCGAGCACTATTCCTGCCATAGATAGCATCGGTTAGTGTCTAATTCCTGTCCATTAAAAGGTGCTGCAAGAATACAAAAAGGTACTCTCTACATGATCTATAAGAAATGAGCTGCAGTGTACAAAGAATGGGCACAGAATTATTTGTGAGGTAGCTGGGCCAATTGTTCCACCAAATCAAGATGCTTATTACAATTAAACTAAAGATATTTAACTTATCCTGTAGAAAAAAGATATGGACAAAAGGGGAAAAGAAAGCTACCACTGCAATATTTGCAGCATAAAGAAAGTTTTGATTACTCCATTTACAAATTACAATCAAACAGATCAGCACAATTCTATATATATTATTATAATGGTTGACCATCTATGACAAACAACTCACATTTTCCCCCCAAAAAAGTCAAAATACAGAATGAATGAAACACTCCTGGTTTGCTGTCTACCCTTGAGTGAAATTACAATCAAACAGAAACTACAAGTTCCAACAAAAAGCAAATGGAAACAGCCACGGTGATAGCACAAGATATCTAATGAATCTACTGGAGCCAACAGAACACCAGGCCCAAGTGTACAAGTAAATGGGCCCAGAATTGTTGCAAAGGCACATAAAGTAGCTGGACCAATTGTTTCACCTAATTAAGATGATTACAATCATTTTAAAGAGATTTTATTATCCTGTACAAATCAAGAGATGGACAAAAGAAGGGGAAGAGAGCGCTACCCAATATTTGCAGCATAAAAAAGTTTTGGTTAGTTCATTTACAAAGTACAATCAAACAGATCAAGCCAATTCTATATAGTATAAGGGTTCGACCATCTATGACAAACAACTCTCATTTTTTTCCCAGAAAAGAATGTCCATCTACAGAGTGAATGAACCTGACTAGTCATCGGGAAGCATTGTATTATTTAGAAGAAAACCAAAAGGAAACCAGAACATCCCCATATACACCAAGGCCGTTCTCGTCCCAACCTATCAACCAACCAAGCGCTAATCCACCAAAGCTAAAAAACCATCCAAACTGCCTTATTTCTCTCAGGGTAGGAAATCTAACCCTAATACCACGCCGCAGATACAAAACAATCTAGGTCGAAGACAGACATTCACATGAGCAAGAGGGATATGAACAGGCAGCTCACCATGGAGGTGATGTACTCCTCGAACGACTCCCGATACTTGTCATAAAGCTGCTGCGAGTAGTCGTGTGGTGGCTTCTGCGTGCACATGTTGTATATCGTCCTGCGACAAGGGAACCAAAACCCTAGATCAGAACTGGATCGAAGCGGATCGAGTTGGGAAACCCTAGCGGCCGCCGCCACAAAGGCGACGGTGGCAAGGAGGAGGAGGAGGGAGGGGAGAGGGAGACGTACGTGTAAAGCATCATGTAGTCCTCGGAGCTAAACTGCGGCTCTGGCTTGCCCTCGAGGATGTTCTTCAGCTTGGTGATGCCCTTCTGCATGACCGCCCATCCCTCCTCCGGATCGATTGTCCCACGCCCTCCTTCCCCCCATCGCCAAGCAGCGAGGTTGCGGTGCCATCAGCGGAGAAGCAAACCTTAGCGCCCGCCACTGGGGGTTTGGTGGTGCGCTTAGGGAGGATGGTGAGGGTCCTCGAGAGGCGAGCGCGCGAGGCGAAACGGGGGGAGGAGGAGAGAGGCGAGCGCGTGGGCGTAAGGAGAGGGCTGGGCTGGGGGTTCTGTTGTATACCGCTGCGGCGCCGCGGCTGACCGCCTTCCAGGCGGCCCCCTCCTCGTTGGGGAGATCCCGTGTGATTCAAACTCCGTCCCGTCGTCCGATCACGAGGTGGACGGCCCAGATGATGAGGCTTGCGCTAGATGTGGATCATTGTATGAAATCAAATCAAACTACTAAAATAATTTTGAGACACCAAATGATCTCAAATGAAAATTTGATAAACATCAAAGTTGTAGAGGTCATGAAGATCTACAACTTTTATTTTGGCCATCTTGTCATTTGACAAAATTTGAACCTTTCAAATTTGAAATTTTAAAACATGACAAGTTCGAAACAAAATTTGAGACCCAAAATTATTTCAACATAAAAAGTGATGAATACCAAAGTTGTTCAACTCATTAATACCTACAACTTTTATTTTAGTCATCTTGTCATTTGACAAAATTTGAACCTTTCAAATTTAAAATTTTGAAAAACGACAAGTTTGAACCAAAATTTGAGACCCGAATTGATTTCAACATAAAAAATGATGAATACAAAAGTTGTTCAACTCATGAATATATGCAACTTTTATTTTGGTCATTTCTTCATTTGACAAATTCTTAGTACACATTGTTCACTAATCTTACACATATCTCATATAGTTTATAAAACCTTATGAGAGATGTGGCATATTTGTGAACAATGTCATTACCACTTTATCATACGAGGAAATCACCAATACAAAAGTTGTAGATCTTGATGAGTTATTAAACTTTGGTATTTATCACTTTTTCAGCTGAAATCATTTGGGGTACCAAAATCTTGTCTGAAGTTGCATTTTTTTGAAATTCAAAATTTAAATTGCTCAAACTTTTCATATGTATATATTGACAAAACCAACAAAATAAATTGATAGAGAATGATTTTAGAAAATTTTAGGGAAAAAAATCATCAGATTTGGAGTTAGTATGAGGAAGAAAAACTAGTTACAAAGTTGCCCCACAGATTATGATCATGTAAGTATGATTTAGAAGAGTGTGATTTCTCTTTTTAATCTGTGGGTAAACTTTATAACTAGTTGTTCTCCTCGTACTAACTCCAAATGTGATAGTTTTTTTTCCAAAAATTTTCTAAAATCATGCTTCAGCATTTAAGTTTGATCAAACTTAGATGTGACAATGTTTTACACATTTTAAAATTTGAAATTTAAAATTTGACAAATTCAAACCAAATTTTCAAACACTAAATGATTTCAGATGTAAAAGTGATGAATATAAAAGTTGTTCAACTCATCAAGATCTACAACTTTTATTTTGGTTATCTTGTCATTTGACTAAATTTGAACCTTTCAAATTTGAAATTTTAAAAAATAACAAGTTCGAACCAAAATTTGAGACACAAAATGATTTCAACATAAAAAGTGATGAATACCAAAGTTGTTCAACTCATTAATATCTACAACTTTTATTTTAGTCATCTTATCATTTGGCAAAATTTGAACCTTTCAAATTTGAAATTTTGAAAAACGACAAATAGGCACTGCAGGTGCGGCTGGTGATTGAGCCGCCCCTACAAATCAGCCCCAACTGTAGGGGCGGCTCAAGTTACCAGCCGCCCCTACAGTGCCATCTGTAAGGGCGGCTGGGCTGTGGGGCCCGAGGACGCCCACTATAGGGGCGCCTCTAACCCCAGCCGCCCCTACAGTAAAAATGCCCCCGTTCTTACAGTAAGAATCTGGCGTAGTGTGTCGCTGTTCATAATGTCATGTTGGAATTAAAGCCGGGATGATACATCAAAGAGAGGAAAAAATGTTAATTATTGCCATGAAGTGATTAAACAAAAAAATGAAGGTATATTATATGGCTATACTAGAACGCTAAATCTAGAGCTCAATCGCGTGAAGCGGCTATCGCCGACCGCATGCAGGAACCGCTGCCGCGTGGCCTCACCCTCATCCCCATAGTGGCGAAACTAGAGCAAATTAGAGGATGGTGTAGGTGTGAAAATTTAACCTGCAAACATGGTGAAAGTTTGATCCTAATATTGGTTTTTCAAATTTTCGTGGGTGCATACGAAACCACGAGCTACAGTGTAGCTTCGCCACTGGGTCCGCATGCTTTCCACCTCACCACTCTCTGCAGCACGCACACCTGAAGTAGAATCCGAGCACTCAGCTTCCTTTCTCTCTCTCCCCATACCTTTCCTCGCTCTGCTCCAGAGCAAAGGCGCCGAGCGCCATGGCCGGCAGCCGCCGAGCTCCCAACCGCCACCACCAGCTTCAGCTCCCCTGGCTGCTCGCCCAGCGGCCCTGCTGTCCCGGCGCCGCCGTCGGCCAGACACCGCGCCACGAGCTCCTGCGGCCCTCCCGTCCTGTCATCACCATCGCCCAGCCGAGCGTCCACGCCACCGAGCGACCGCCGCGGTAGTCTTGTGCAATTGATTCAATCTAGTTACAAATTACATATCACTGTAGCATATTTTACTACTGCTGTTTGGGTGTAAATTTTGTGTACAATTAGTGTAAACTGATTGTTCGTTGTTTTTCCCTTTTATTATGAAATTTGTATGTTTTATTTGATTTTTTTGAAATTCTTCTAATTTATCTTTCATAGAAACAATCTGTTAATTTGTTTGGCACATTTATTTTAAATTTGTATATTTTCTTTGAAACTCTTACAAATTTGCCTTTCATAGGAATAATCTGTTGATTTGTTTTGTTAATCTGATTTTTTATTTTTCTATTTTTTTATTTTGATTTTTGTATTTATTTGATCTTTTATATATGGTCTCTTAGATGTGATTCATGGGCCTAAAACACTCGATTTTCTTGTTCGCTGGAATCGAGTGCTCTCAAGAGATCTCACACTCGGGTGTCAGGTCCTTGTGAAACACCCAGGGGATGGTAGACAGACCCTACTAGAAAGCTGCCTCGGGAACCCAAGAATTTCACAGGATTTTTAAAGGAATTTCACAAGAATTAGATTATTTTCATAGGAAAATATGAGGAAACAGAAAAAGTGCCTCCAATCCAAAGGGTGCCCCAGCCACTAGATGCACGTGTTTTTGAGTCATACAAAAGGTCAAAAGCTAGTATTGATGTGGACAAAATTAGCTGCCAACCCAGCAAGTCATAAATATAGACCGATTCTGTTGGCATATCTACTAGGAGAGCATGATTTCTATGAGAAAATTCTTGGCCATCGCAAATTAAATAAAGAGTTCGGCAAAAGACTAACATGGTCGTCACATAGATAGTTTAGTTGACAACTTAGTTTTCTAGTTACGCATAGTTGTCAACTAACGTGCCACTGATTTTGGCTACCAGTTTCAAAGTCATTTTGGGCAACATGATGTTTAAGGGCATGCTTGGGGGTGGAATCAATAGAGCCACCCATGGATAGGGTTGAGGAATCTAGAATACTTAACAATTTGGGATAAATTTTGAACCATTGATATGTACGGCAAAATATCCCACAATGCATATTCCCTGGCCATTATCGTAGTCCGCATAGTTAGCAAATCTGTTTCAAGATCTAAATCGTGTTTCACCCTAACCACTCCACCCATAAGACACTTGTGTCCGTTTGGGATATTCGTCCTCCACATAGTTGGGATGCTAAACAAATTCAAATAAAAAAATTATCAACTACAAAGTTGTATACCGTTTCAAGATTTACAGCATTTGTTTTAACCATTTCTTCATCCGAGGTCAGAAAAATTTGAATTTCTAATATCAGAAATCAAACATAATTTTTCTTGCATAGATTACTTAAAATGCAATTACAAAGTTGCCTAACTCTTTGAGATCTACAACTTTTGTTTTAGTTGTTTTTTCATCTGAGGTCATTTGAAAAATCACTACTACACAAATGATTTTACGAGGCAGTGCCCTTTTATTAACCAAGGCGGTCACAAAAACCAACCGCCTCGTAAAATGCCCGACGATTAACGGAGGTGACCGTTTATTTACCGAGGCACCAAAAAATGACGGCCTTGCAAAATTGATTTACCGAGGCGGTCATTTTATTTACGGAGGCGTTTACAACTGACTACCTAGAAAAATTGATTTACGGACATGGTTATTTTATATATGGAGGCATTTTCAGCTGCCCGCCTTGTAAAATTGATTTACGGAGGCGGGCCTTTTATGCGTTCCGTCTCCTGCCTCCGTAAAATGGCAAGTGGCCCGCAAGCCTGTTAGCTATGTTCCACATATACAAGCGTCAGTTTGGGTTTGAGAGCTCTCAATACCGGATTCGCTTTCTCTTTTCTCAGATGCGGTGGCCTCTCCCCGACGCGCCGTCTCTCTCTCTGTAACACCCAAAAAAATTTATTTACAATTTAGTAATTAAATTTGAGCACTTAATTAATTTTTTATGCATTTTAACCTAGGTCAAATAATAATTTTTGGTTAATTAAAATTAACTATAAGGTTTAGAAACATGTTTGTTGCATTCATGGCGGTGCATAGTTTTTGTTTGAGTGTAGGGTTAGAGTTGAGTGGCTTTGAATTCAAATCTAGTTTGAATTTGAGGCAAGTTTGCAAAAACAGAAAATGAAAAAGGTTTTTCTTTTCTCTTCCCCCCTCTCTCTCTTTCTAGCTCATCACCAAAGCCAGCCCAAGCCATCCCGCACCTGGAACTCGGCCTTAGGCCGTTGGCGGCCATCCAGCCGACTTCCCCCTTCCCTCTCCTTTGCGCGAGCATGGCCCAGCTCGGCATTGAGTGCCCCGGCCCATCCCGTGGCCTGCTTGATGGCTCGAGTGGAGCGGCCCGCTCCATCCCACGCCATCCCTCCTTTCTCTCTCTGGCGGCTAGGGCCCGCACGTCAACCGCCCATCCCTTCTCCTTTCTCGAGCCGAAGATCCTGAGCCAGCATAAATCGCTCCTTCACTCCCCGTTTGAAGAATCGAATGATGAAAGCCATGGGGGCCGTCGTCTCGACGTGCTCCCCGTCTTTGTTTTTGGGTCTTGTTGAGTTTGCGAGGTTCCGCTCGCCACCCAGATGCTTTCGGTTTGGAACGAGGTGGCCGAAGTGGCGCTGCTCGTGTCACTGTAGCACCAGCGGGTTTATCCCAATCACGTGTGCGCCGTCCAATCTGCTTTGGATGGCCGAGATTAGAATGTAACCCTTCGGGTTTATAACCGGTCCACCATAGACCGTGGACACGGCGCACCGCACCATGTCACCACGTCCACAGCACGCGTGGTGGACCGCACCAATCGGCGCGCGCCACGTCGCGCCACGTCAGCCAGCGACGTGGTCAACCACGACCAGCTGCTCGCGTTTTGCGCTTTAGCCCCTTAGTTTTCCCATAATCAACCCTTAGTCCACCTTAGTTCAAATGTATTTGTTTTTAGTCCTTTTTTTATTCTGTTTTAGCCCCTGTATTTATGGAAAATAGGACGCGCCATCTAGAATATGTTAGAAATCAGATTTAAATCATTTAAATTCAAATTTGAGTTGGGTTTATTTATAGAATTGATATTGAATCTTGTTTTATGCATAACTTTTGCGTTTTAAACCCGATTAGAGTGATTTTTTCACTCATGTGTCCGTAGTAGTATGTAGATTAGTTTTGTAAGCTTTTTGGTCTCTGTTTTTACTGTTTGGTATACTATTCTAATAGAAGTATATTTGTATGCATGTGATGATTGGTATGGATGCTCGATTGGTGATTGGGATCTCGTTTAGAGGGTAATTAGTTTGAGGTTGCCGAGGAGCAGGTTGCTGACCAGTACCAGGAATGTTGCTTTGAGGAAGGCATGTGTAACAAAGGCCCTTCGTACCTATGAACTCTATATAATTTATACATATGCATGTGTCTAATTTGAATCGCCTTTAAGGACTGTACCTAGATTACTTTTGATCTATATATCCTTGTTACCTAAGGTTTGGGATGCATGGTTGGTTAGTTGCTGCTGCGCATAACCAAAATGAACAATTTTAACTCGACAAATGGTATATGCAACTTGTTACAATGATGCTTTTTAGCAACATGGCTTAGAGGGCTGAGGTACTGGGTTTTGAGTGCCTTGGTTTCTCTCCGTAAGGACTAAATCCTGAAGCAGCCACCCAGGAGGTTTCGTACAACCCCGAGTGTCAAATGGCTCTGACCTTAATCATATAACTAGTATGTCTCTAGCTTGTTAGGTGTTACCGTATGGCGCAAGAGGGGGGGTACCTCGTAGTGTATAGTTGTTCGTCCTACCTTGGTGTGTACAGTGCGGCGACCACATGTGCCTCTTGAAGGGGGACACCTATGCACACTTGCCACTGAAACCTTAGCGGCTACTAACTTGTTAGGGTGTCTAGTGAAAGGTTATGTAGTGAAACCTAGCCTCGTCTCCTTGGAAGAGGTATTGTGGGCCTTGCAAAACCCGGCAATTGGGAATCATGGTTCGGTGGGTAAAGTTATACAATTTCTGTAGAAATATTTGACCTGTTATAACAGCCGGGCTCACAGACACGAGCGCCCTAGATCCTTCATGATTATTGGTTACAATGGTTGGTTGGGGAATGATTTAATCTTGATTAATTATTATTACTACTTGGGATGGTTTATTCACTAAAGTAGTGACTTAGGTGTAATAAAACTTGACCAACTAAAATTGCTAACCGCAGTCAAACTGTGTCAAGCCTTTGAGCCTCATAGATCCCTTTGTTATACTTGCTAAGCATGGTGCGCTTACACTTGTTTTACATTCAATGAAAATCCCAGATGGGTAACAGATGTCATATATGAGGAGTTTCCTGAAGATGTCCAGGATTACTAGTTTGATGTCCTCTAGTTGGAGTCCCTGTGGTGACATGGGTTTAGTTCTCCGCTTTATGTAATAATGATGCTGCTGAGCAAGACTATGTGATAACAATGTGCTGAGATATGCGATGTAATAAAGTAATTTACTTTGATATTATTGCAATTTGAGATTATATGTGTGTTTGGATATCTTGGGTGCACATATATGAGTACTTGATTTTCCTATGAAAAATTGGGTGTGACAAATTTCCTCGCTCTCTCCCTCCCTCCCTTCCTCCCTCCACTCTCTCCCTTGTTGGTCCCGAGTGAACAACTAGCGATGGAGCTCTCTAACCCCGAGCGAGCCTGGCGGCGGTCGCGTGCCCCGCGGCAGAGGGCCCGGTGGCGGGCACCGCGCACCCCGGTGGCTGTTGGCCGTGCGCTAGGTGGTGAGGGCCTGTGCGTGCCGGGCGGTGGCGGCGGTGGCGCCTCGCTCTCTCCCGGCGGGCAGTGCATCTCTCTCTCCCCGCGCCGAAGGCCGGGCCAGAAGTCGGATCTCAGCGGTAGAGGGCAGATGTCAGCGGTATAGGGTGGATCCCGATGGTTGGAGTCCGGATCCAGTAGGAGAGGGCGATCCTGGTGGCCGGAGGCCAGATCACGATGGGAGAGGACGGGATAAGGCGGATCCCGTAGCAGCATGCGGCCTTCTCCCTTGACAGTGGCCTCCACCACCAGATCCGGCGGCAGCTGGCAAAGAGATGGCTAGGAGCGCGGCGCGCGTGGATGGAGATGGCGGTGCAGATGGAGCCCAAGCTCTGGCGGCGCGGATGGGCTCTGCTGGCTTGTCTAAGTTTTTCTTTCTTTTCTTTTTTTTCCTGATTGATTTACGGAGGCGGGCAAAGGGCCGCCTGCGTTAACAGCAATTTATGCAGGAGGGCAATGGGATCGCTTGCGTTACTGTGATTAATGGAGACCTTTCCACTAAGGCGAATGGTTTGCTCGCATTGGAAAACTATTTTTGCCCGCCTCTATAAAGGTTTTGTAGTAGTGAATTCGAATTTTATTGTATAACTCCTATTTTTAGAGACGGCTCTATTTTCTAGCCACCTCTATAAATTGATTTGTAGAGGCATCTCTATAAATTGATCTAATAGTCACTACGTGAAAAATAGTTTGTAGCAACAGGACTTTTTTTTAGGGGCGGCTGGCATTGGAGCCACCCCTACAGTGACGTACTCAGACTCCAGACCAACAGCCGCCTCTACAAATGGCACAGTAGGGGCGGCTGGTAATACGAGCCGCCCCTACAAATGCATCAATTCGTAGGGGCGGCTAATATTACAAACCGCCCCTGCTACCAAGCAAGCCACGTCGCCCCCAATTCACCCCCGAATAAATGGATGCCTTCCCTTCGCGAAAAAGGGCTCCCTCCCACGCCCGGCCTCTCCTCCCGCTCGTCTCGCTCACGCTCCTCTCGCGGCGCGCCGCCTCCGCCGCTTGCGCCTAGTCCCCTCCCCCGCCCGTGCCTCCCCTCTATCTGCCTCTCTGCACGGGGGCCCGTCTACCTCCATGTGTGCACGGCCTGGGCGGCGGCGCCGCAGCTGTGCCGACGGGCCCGGTGGTGGCCGCCTTCTGCCACGACGCCGCGCCCGCGAGCCCCGCCGCTAGCCGCGGCGCGTGGCTGCCCCCCGGCGCTGCCTTCTCCCTGCGGTCCTCGCAGCGACTCAGATCTGGGGCGACGAGATAGGGTTCGTGTTTTCTTCTTCGATTCCTCCCTTTTCCTCCGTCGATCTGGTCAAGTTAGTTGTATGGTGATGTAATCTGACTGTGGTTTCGTATTTTTCCACTGAATTGTTCTGTATTTTCGATTTCCCTTTGGATGTGTAGCTCTGATTTCGTTGTTGTTCTATCTCTGCAGGTAGTAGTTTGTTAATCTGTGACCTAATGCCTGTGTATGTTCACTGCAAAGCAAGGATAAGAAGTATAACTATCTTTGGAACTGCAAAGACTATCTCGACTCGGTGAAGACTTTCTTCAGAAATCAATCTATTAACTTATTTTCTGAGGCTAGCAGATCACTTTACTGATTTTGTTCTGGCACATGGGAATAGGCATCTAGGATAATATTAGCAACTGATGATGATCATCCAGGTCAGGCTCTGGCCGAGGAACTTGCTCGTCGACTTGGTAAAGAAAGGTTTGTGCATCAGCATTCTTTAACTATTGTGAAATAAAATGTTATATGACCATTCATTTTTTTCATTTCCTTTTTCCCATTTGATTTGATGCAATCAGATGTTGGAGAGTCAAGTGGCCAAAGAAGAATGATACAGATACTTGCAAGGATGCAAATGAGGTTTGTTATGGAATGCATGGGTTCATTTGACATATTCTTGAAATCAGTTCTTGGAACTTGGGTAGTCTTTTGTCATTATGTAATCAGCCCTTGTAACACCTTTTTTTTGACCTACAGGTACTGATGTTTTTAGGTCCGCAAGCATTGAGAAAGGTTATAGATGCAAAACTGTATCCTATAAGAGGCCTTTTTTCATTCAAAGATTTCTTCCCAGAGATTGATAATTACTTTCTTGGAATACATGGTGATGAGCTTGATATTCATACTGGATGGAAATCTTTGGATGATCTTTACAAGGTAAAAAAGTTTTATTGCATTATTCAATATTCCTTAGCTCATTGGTGAAGGTGGGTTCTTTATTATAACAGTAATGCTTTTGCGTGCCTCATCACAGGTACTTTGCTCACAGAAGTTGAATTTGGCAATCTGTTTTCTTTGTTTACCATATGATACTATTTCATTCAATTTACTGTCAATGTGGGTGGAAATTTGTTCTGTGCTCGATGGAAAACAAGGCAAGCCATTGTAGTATTTGATTGATGTCAGTTAATTAACTAAACGTCATTGGACACTTCCAAACAGTTTTGTCTTTGGTGTTTAGGTAAAGGAGCATGCTAGGAAACTCTTAGAGAAGCACATTGAGAAACCATTCTTTGATGCTAGGTAAGTCAGTCTGCAATTGGTGTTTGAATTTGTCTTATTAGTGATCCCTGAAGAGAATGATTATCTTTTAGAGGACCGTTAGTATTTCACTGTGTTTATTTGGTTATAAGATGGTAAAGTTTAGTTGGTTAAGAAATACTTGTTTTGATGGAACAAAATGCATTTAATATCAGCCTAGAGAACACAATTTGTTGTCTTTTAATGTTACTGTCACTGATTCATGTATTTTTTATGTATCATATTCGTTTCCTGTCTACAGAAACAATGATATGCTGCTGCTTAATGAAATCATGTCAAGTGAATAGCAATAAAATGCTTGTCTTCTTGTTTTTTCTATTTTTATGAACTTGAAAACTGTATTTGTTTTATAGCACCCAATGAAAACTACAGTTTTCTTTCTGTTGTTGAAAACTACAGTTTTTATTGGAATGCTCATTTAGACATTATCATCAGGGTGAAACAAAACAAAATTAAGAAAGACAAAATTTGGAAAGCATGATGGAAACAACAGGGGTAATTAACTAATAATAGCACTATTGCCCGCATTGCCCAGTTTGTAGCAAGGACATAGGGTATTCGTAAGCTGTGTCGTAGGATTCAAATGGTGAGATGTTGTGTGAATATAACTCGTTGCCTACTGCCTAGCTTATAACAAGTGGAAATGAGTTTGAGCTCATTTTTTGCAATGCCATGTCTTCAATTGGTATTGAATCTCTGCCTGGTTGCTTGAGTTATTTCTACAAAATGTAGCCGAATGTGGTTCCAGTTCTGAACCTGCAAATTGTCTGTGCAAATCATGCCTTAAGATGCTGCATTATGCAATAGTAGTGTTTCTCTGTACATTTTTTTTTTTGTAGCTGTCTTCCTTTTTGAATAACACTTTTACCTGCTTGCAAGGCTCAAGGAAAGCCAGCGCTCCCTTGGGGAAGCTACTGCTGATGCCGAACTTCCCAAGAGATGGTGCCTACTCGAACTATTTTTGGGCCTAATTTTCAGTGATACTGTTTTCTCTTTCTCTGTTGATTCATCTCTTCCCTAATTTGCAGTGCTTCGGATAGAATCAAAGCAATGGACCAAGTTTTATCAAAATCAAGGGATCTATTGTACGATTGCAAGGAAATTACCGTGCGTTTGAGAGCAATGCTTCAGTCAGCAGATGAGCAGGTCCGGAGCTTGAAGAAGCAGAGCACCTTCCTTAGCCAACTGGCAGCTAAGACAATCCCAAATGGCATCCATTGTCTTTCCATGCGCTTAACAATTGATTATTACCTTCTGTCTCCAGAGAAAAGAAAGTTCCCCAATAGTGAGAACTTGGAAAATCCTGATCTTTACCATTATGCTCTTTTTCTCGGACAATGTTTTGGCAGCATCAGTTGTCGTCAACTCAACCATCATGAGTGCGAAGGTTAGTGTAATACCATCTTCAAGCTGGAAGTGTAATCTCTTCATTGTGTGTACCATTGAATGACCAATTATATAGCACTCTTGATTTTCTTACTATAAATTTGCAGGAGCCTGAAAAACATGTATTTCATCTTGTTACTGACAAACTGAACTTTGGGGCCATGAACATGTGGTTTTTGCTGAATCCACCTGGGGCTGCAAATGAGAAGAAACTTCTGACCCTCTTTGCCAATTTATTACATGTTAGACATATCTACTTGTACTACACATACTACCTCTATTTTTTGTTTTGTTAGCACTTGAGTGCTTGCTTGGTCTTTTTGTAATATAGATATATGTTTTATCGTCATAATATGAGACTGTTTGTTCTTATTGTGATTCTTGTACTATAGAAGATGTTTAGAAACTTTTGGCTAAACAATCTTGTTTGGGCCACAATATTACAGTCAAGTTTGTCAGGATACTTGATCATGTATTTTACTCATCACAGGATGATTTGGAAGAGCACGTGTTGGTAATTTGAATTTTTTTGTGGAAAAATATACTGTAGGGGCGGTTGGTATTGTAGCCGCCCCTACAAATCGATTTGTAGGGGCGGCTGGTGTTACCAGCCGATTTGTAGGGGAGGCTATAGTACCAACCACCTCTACAAATCGATTTGTAGGGGCGGCTGATAACACCAGCCACCTCTACAAATCGATTTGTAAGCGCGGTCTGGAAACCACCCCTACAAATACATGATTTGTAGATACGGTATGATAGGGGCGGCTGGCCGAGCCGCCTCTACAAACTAACGCCAGCGCCCCTACAAATACTTTTTGTAGTAGTGAGTGTGGATTGACATCTCAGATACCAACTTCGCTACATAATTTTGAGAAAATGTTTGTTAATGAAAATGGAGGAATGAAAACTAGAAACGACTGGATCTTCTCTGGAGTTCTTGTCAAGACAAACAAGAGTATTTCTTACAAAATATTTGAATTTTTTTTCTGACCGCACTCAAATGAGCCCGTTTTTCATTAAGAGGGTAGCAAAACGTTTACAAGGCGCAAGTCACTACCGGAAATAGTAACTTTGCCGTGTGCCACAGGCACTTGTCAAAGACAAAAAACACTCGGCAAAGGTTGGCAAAGCCTTTGCTATTTGCCGAGTGTTTTTTATCGTGCACTCGGCGAATGGTTTGCCGAGTGTCAAATTTGATAGTCGGCAAAAAAAGTGGTTTGCCGAGTGTTTTTCCAAAATACACTCGGCAAAAGATTATTGTTTGCCGAATGTTTTTGAGAATTACACTCGGCAAACCTATTTTTCAAAGAAAAAAAATAATTCTTTTCTCAGCACACCACGTCGCTTGCCGCCACCACCACGCCGCCGCTCCTGCTGGATACAGTCACGAACACATTAACAGAGAAGAAGCAAGAACGAACAGAAGAAAAAGGAGCGACCAAAAATCTGATGAAAACCAAGCTAAAACTCCATAAAACGCTACCAAATTTTGCACAGATGCAATTCAACCTAGCACGAACCTATTCGCCAAAAATCATTGCTTGGGATTGACCCAAACTCCGGGAAATTGAGATCGAACTCAAGAACGAAAAAGGGGAAAAATTGGAAACACAGTGAACGAATTTCATAGCTTCGATTTAGGAATCCCGAAGGACAACTGGAGGATTCGGGCCTCCATTCCCAATCCAAAATCACAGGTGAAACGAGCAGAGGCAAATCGAGCGATAGCAGGCGAGCAGCTCCGGGCAGGGGCAAACACCGCTTGGCTGAGCGGGATGGACGATGCTCGACGCTCGACGCCTGAGGCCTGCTGCTGAACGCTCGGCCACTGGTGAGTCCTCCCTGCCTGCTCGTGGTGACTGGAGACAATTCCGGTGGCCTGAATCAAGACCCGGTGCACCACGATGTCAAGCACAGGGCAGAACAGGAGGGAGAGAGGCTAGCTGCCAGCCACGAGCACCCCCAGCAAGAGCCGCTTAAGTGAGCTCGCTTGGTGCCTGAGCACTTAGCGCTGGTAGTGCTGCCGCTGGGCTGCTGGACAGCTGCTCCTGCTCGATACAGTCACGAACACACAAACAGAGAAGAAGCAAGAACGAACAGAAGAAAAAGGAGCGACCAAAAATACGAAAACCAAACAAAACTCCATGAAACGCTCCCAAATTTTGCACAGATGCAATTCAACCTAGCACGAACCTATTCCCCAAAAATCATTATATGGGATTGACCCAAACTCCGGGAAATTGAGATCAAACTCAAGAACGAAAAAGGAGAAAAAATGGAAACACAGTCAACGAAAATTATAGCTTCGATTTAGGAATCTCAGAGGACAACTTGGAGTCGAAGATTCGGATGGAGTGGTGGGGCTGGCTGGCGCGGTGGTGGTGGCCGGTGGGGAACTTGGAATGGACTAGAGGAGGGTGGAGTGGAGAGGCGGGCAGCAGAGACGTAACAGCGGAGACTTCCGGGGTGCGTGAGTTATAGCGCTGGAGCTTTGCCGAGTGTCCTAGATCCAACACTCGGCAAAGTAGTGTTTGCCGAGTGTTCTAGATCTGGACACTCGGCAAAGTTTTTTTTCATTTTTTTTCTTCTCCTTTTTTCCAGAAAAAGTATTTTTTTTCTTTGCCGAGTGTCCTAGATCTGGACACTCGGCAAAGTTTTTTTTCATTTTTTTTCTTCTCCTTCTTTCCCAGAAAAAAATATTTTTTTCCTTTGCCGAGTGTCCTAGATCTGGACACTCGGCAAAGTTTTTTTTTTCATTTTTTTCTTCTCCTTCTTTCCAGAAAAAATATTTTACTTCTTTGCCGAGTGTCAAAAAAAAAACACTCGGCAAACCCCATCTTTGCCGAGTGTTTTTTTTGACACTCGGCAAACCTCCTCTTTACCGAGTGTTTTTTTTATGCTGAGTGTTTTTAAGCGCACCACTCGGCAAAAACCTTGTTTGCCGAGTGCCCGAGAAAATACACTCGGTAAACATAAAAACACTCGGCAACTTTAACGCTTCCATATGGAACGAGGTACCTGTTTTTCTCTTCCTTTCCTAGATGTTGATCTGTGTGTCGTCTGTTAGTGGGGAGGGTACGGTTGAACATACATGGAGCTGGTCCTGTTGTGTTCTGAGATAGCATTAATGTAGTAATATACTCTATATCAAGCCTAACTTCCTTGACATGAAGTTTCCGTTTTCTTAGATATGCATTGACAGAATCCGGACAAGCACTTCCTGGGATGGGTTTAGTTAGTCTCGTTAATAAAAAAAAAGAGAATTGCTATAGTCAGGTGCGTATTTTTTTCAGGTAACACATTAGTACCATTAGATTTGGATAGAATGCTTTGTGTTCATCTTGTACCATTGTTCTTCAACATCTGTCTCTCACAGTTCACATATGCACCTTCCTACTGCCGAGTAACCTCCGTCCTTGGTGGCCTCCCGGTGCCCAAGCTCACCCGCTGCGGTAACGACGAACCTATAACTATTTCTCTCCCTCACTTCTTCCTGGTCCAACCGCTATCCTCCTTCAGCCATAGCTAGTGGTGGCCCCACCTCCTCGCGCCTCCGCGTTGCTTCCACCTCCTCTACCTAGCCAGCCTACTTCCTCCATGCCCCTTTCTAAACAAACAGAGCACAACCATCCCGAACACGAATGCTTTGTCGGTACGAGGAGAGCGTTCGATTTCAGGCGTGTGTAGTGTGAGAGATGTGACAAAATAAAGGCTAAAACAAAGATGACTGCAATACAAAAATGTCACTCGTTTCCATTAACAAATACATAGTCCTAGCTACTTGATAACTGATGAGACACATACATCATCCATGTTTTGAGAGTACAAATCAAAGATACATATGCGTGAACATCAATGCACGTGTGGACGACTTTTCTCGACATCGTCTTATTCATCTACTTTTATTCGTTATAATTCTCCACTAGGTAGGATCGGACAGACATATGTATACGTATACGCAATATGGTGCATGGAGCACTACGCATGGTTGGAGCACCAGCCGGCGGCCTCAAGATCGGTTCGTGATCATGGGCAGAAGGTGACCTAGTAGTTGCTGTTGCCGTTGCAGGCATGGGTCTTGGTGTCGTCGCTGGGAAACAGTTTAGGCGTCGGGGCACCGAGCCCCGCCGCAGTTGAGCGTCACGCCGGTGCTGCAGGAGAATTGCATGGCGAGGTTGTAGCCGTCGATCATCGAGATGTCGTAGAAGTCTTGGCTGCCGCCGATGGTGAACTCGGCCAGCGTCATGGGAGGCCGCCCGTGTTAGGATTGATCTCCCACCAGTTAGGCCCAACGGCCTAACTGGGCCTTGTCCTCGCGCCCTGATCGGGGGCGCCCAACCCTACATGGTTGGTGGGCCCCCGTCGCACAGCGCTATAAAGGAAAGGTGGGGGCTGGGGCTCGCAGTACGAGGTTCACCGCGCCACCAGTCACCCCACCGACATCCTAACCCTAGACCTGATCTTGAGAAGGCGCTGCCAAATGACGGAAGCACCACCGACGACGCCGCAACGCCACCCCGACGCACGTCACGCCGAGGACGAGGATACAATGCCGACTCCTCTCCATCGAACGTCGCCGCCGGCGAGCAGATGGCGTCCGTCAATGAAAACCCGGCTGGAGCTTCGACCACTATGGCTTTTGATGGTTTGCAACCTATCACCCCCTTTCTCTCTGTGATCCTGAACACCTATTTCTACTACCAATACATCCCGATCTGATGAACATGCCTAAAAATGAAATCTAACAATGGTACCGGAGCCACGGTTCGACAAGAAATCAGATCGGGTAAGTGAAACCGACCGATCTGATGCGGATTGGGAAAGAAAATAGAAAGCCGAACCCTAAGACCTAACCCTAATTTCCCAAATCAAATCGAAAGAAGGGAAAAGGGGAGGGTTAGATTCTGAGAACCCTAGACACAAATCCGAAAGAGAGAAAAGGGGAAGAAGAAAGAAAGAAGGGTCGAAACCCTAACCCTAACCCCAAGTTTTCCATTCGGATGAACGAAAAGAAAGAAATCAAAAGCAAAGAAAATGAATCGGCAAGAACAAACCCTAACCCGAATCGGCAAGAACAAACCCTAACCCTAACCCTAGTTTTTTCCCCATTCGGATAAACCCGAAAAGAACAACTCAAAGAAAGAAAGGGGAAAGTAGGGGTAGGGTTAGGGTGCATCGGATGAACTTTTTCCGGCCGGGCGGGAGAAGAAGCCGAGCCGAGGGCGCGGGCTCGCCGGGTTCGGCCAAGGGAGCGCCGCGGCCAGGCCGCTCGACGGCGGCGTGCTCACCCGTTGGGGAACATGCGCGTCGGCGAGGGGGCCGGCGACGGCGCAAAGGACCGCTCGCTCGTCGCTCTTTCGCTCTCGGTTGCGGCTCGCTGCTGCGGCTGAAGAGAGATGAGAGAGAGCGGCGAAGAAGAGAGAGAAAGGGAAGGGTCGAATGGCTAGGGTTTCTAGGGCGCCGGCCGCGGCGACGCTTTTGATCCGCGCGAAATGGCCGCTCGGCCGTCGGATCAGATCGAACGGTCGAGTTTCGCTGGGCCAACTCGCCGCCCAAAGTGGGCGAGGGCGCTGGCACACTTTGCTGCCCAGCCCAAGTTGCGGCTGGGTGCGGACTCATTGTGAGAGGACAATTGGGCCGAAATTGCTTTTCAAGCGTCTTGGGCCGCGCCGGGCTGAAATGAAAGAAGGAAGAAATAAATTTTCTTATTATTTTCCAGGAGCAATTTTAATGCATATTTTTTGATGAATTTGAATGATTTTGATACAATTTTCTGTGCAAATTTTATCCAACGATATTTTGCTCAGAAAACAGTGAATTTTTTAGTGCTTCTGGAAAATAATAATATGAAAAGTTTGTTAATGTTTCCGCTATGCATGATAATTATTGTTCTCTTTGATTAAATTTGAACCAACGGGATAATTTAATTTTAAGAGAAATAAATTTCTGATAATTTTGATGCGATTATGATATTGTTATTTTCTGACCAACGTTGTTAATAACAATATTATAATTTTGATCTATGAGAAATTGTGCATTAATTTTACTTCTGCCCAACGGTGATGTAAAATGTTTGCATGGATGAATTATAAGTTTTAATTTGACCAACGTTGAGTTAAAGCATGAAACTTTATGTATAAATGTTCTTACTTACTCTGGTATGATTTCAGGAGGCAAATGCATTGTGAACATTGCCAACATCCCGACACTCAACGGAACCAATCACCATGTGTGGCGGGAGAAGTATGAATTGGAACTTGCGTTGGGAGAGGTCGATTTTGCCATCACCTCACCGGGGCTACTGAGCCAGAGGACCCGGTGAGAGATGACAATGAAACTGACGCTGATTTCGCTGCTCGAAAGCGTGATCATGCTGAAATAAGAATAAAATATGACCTTAAACATAGGCAATGGACTCTCTCCAACCACAAGTGCCTATTGGTAACCAAAGCCACCATAGAAGAACAAATAAGGGGCTCAATCCCTGAATGTGCTACTACCAAAGAATATCTTGAGAAAATCAAGAGTCAGTTTACTGGGTCTATCAAGGCCACAGCAAGTTCACTGATTAAGAAGCTTGTGAATGAGAAATTCACTGGTGGTAGCATAAGAGAGCACATTTTGAAGATGAACACTACGGCATCTAAGCTAAAAGAAATGAATTTGAAGGAGGAGGATTTCCTGATTCATTTGATTTTTGCTTCTTTGCCAAAAGAATATGACACCTTTATTGTGAACTACAATATGCAGCCTGAAAGATGGGGCATAGAAAGACTCATCTCAATGTGTGCTCAAGAAGAGGAGAGGATAAAGTCCTCACAAGGTGAATCTGCTCATTTTGTGAAGGATAACAAAAGAAAGAACTTTAATGGCAAGAATTATAAACCACAAGGGAAATCTAAGTGGGATAAGACCTCTTCCTCCAATTCACAGGGAAAGAAACCCCAGGATTCTGAGAATCAGTAGTATGGTGGAGCTAAAAAGGATCAGTGCAAGCACTGCTTCAAGAAGGGACACTACAAGAGGGATTGTCCAGACTTCCTGAAATCTCTGCTAAAGAAAGGTGATGAATTTATTACATTTGTAGATGAATCCCTGTATTTATGTTATGATAAATCCACTTGGTGGGTTGATTCAGGAGCAACTACTCATGTTGCAAATTCTTTACAGGGGTTAAGTGGGACGAGAACCTTGCAAAGAGGAGAAAGAACGATTAAAGTTGCAAATGGAGTGCAAGCCAATGTTGAAGCCATTGGAGATTTTTCTTTAGAATTGAATAATGGTTTTGTACTTAGACTTAAAGAAGTACTTTATGTTCCCTCTTTGCGTAGAAATTTGATAAGTGTTTCGAAACTTGATGATGATGGAATTGATTGCCATTTTGGTGATGGCAAGTGTAAGATACTAGTTAATAATAAATGTGTTGGTCTTGCCTTCCGACAAGACAAGCTTTATTTATTATCTCTTGCTGAGAATGCGAACAATGTATGTGATGAGAGTGTGAATGATTCCCCATCTACGGATGTAACTAAGAAGCGAAAGAGAATTGATATTGTCTCTTCGAAATTATGGCATTGTCGCTTGGGCCATATTTCGAGGGGGAGAATGGAACGATTGGTTAAGGAATCAATTCTCCCGCACTTAGAATTTTTAGATTTAGAACAATGTATTGATTGCATCAAAGGAAAGTATGTCAAGAAAATTAAGAAAGATGCCAAACGAAGCACAGGAATTTTAGAAATAATCCACACAGACATATGTGGTCCTTTTCCTGTGAAAAGTGTGGATGGTTATGACTCGTTTATAACATTCACAGACGACTACTCTCGTTATGGCAATATTTATCCAATTAAAGAAAGATCGGAAGCATTGGATAAATTCAAAATATTTAAAGCTGAAGTTGAAAATCAGCACAATAAGAAAATCAAGATAGTACGATCAGACCGAGGTGGAGAGTACTATGGGCGACATACCCCATATGGCCAAATTCCTAGACCATTCGCAAGGTTCCTACAGGAAAATGGCATAGTTGCTCAGTACTCCACACCGGGAGAGCCTCAGCAGAATGGAGTGGCTGAAAGACGTAACCGTACCTTAATGGATATGGTAAGAAGCATGATAAGTTACTCCACATTACCGATTAGTTTATGGATGGAGGCACTGAAAACCGCCATTCACATACTTAATCGAGTACCAAGTAAATCGGTGCCTAAAACACCGTATGAATTATGGACAGGAAGGGAACCCTCACTCAACCATTTGCGTGTGTGGGGCTGTTTGGCTGAGGCAAAAGTGTTTAACCCAAACATAGGAAAGTTAGACTCCAAGACAGTCAGCTGCCATTTTATTGGCTAACCAGAAAGATCGAAAGGATATCGCTTCTATTGTCCTGACAGACATACGAAGATTGTAGAAACAAGACATGCTGTGTTCTTGGAGGATAACATGATCAGGGGGAGCATGGTAGCACGAGAAATCAGCCTACAGGAGAAGCAGGTACATGTACCCACTCCGATGGTTGAAGAACCATTCTTCACGCTACCTGCTACTGTTGCACCGACAGTGCAGGACACTGTAGTGCCAACACCTGTTGCAAGTTCTCCCATGACGACAATGAATGAACATGAGGAACCTGTCCTTGAGGAACCTATCCTTGAGGAACCTATAGAACCAAATGTTGCACATGAGGAAGAACAACAACAGCCAAATGTGGAACAAGTGCCGGAGGCACCTAGAAGGTCTCAAAGAATAAGAAGATCAGCTATTACTGATGACTATGAAGTTTATGAAACAGAAGAATGTCAGATGGGGGATGATCCCACCTCATTTGAAGAAGCCATGAGAAGCGACCACTCATCAAAGTGGCTTAAGGCCATGGAAGATGAATTGAAATCAATGAGTACCAATAAAGTTTGGGACTTAGAAAATATTCCTAAAGGAGCCAAAACAGTAGGCTGTAAATGGGTCTACAAAACGAAATATGACTCCCAAGGGAATATAGAAAGATTTAAAGTGTGACTTGTGGCGAAAGGCTTCACGCAAAGAGAAGGGATTGATTACAATGAGATGTTTTCTTCAGTCCCATGTAAAGATTCCTTCAGAATTATAATGGCACTTGTAGCCCACTATGATTTGGAGTTACATCAAATGGATGTAAAGACGGCTTTCCTAAATGGGGATTTGGAAGAAAATGTTTATATGGCACAACCGAAAGGTTTTGTCGTAGAAGGAAAGGAAAATATGGGATGCCGCCTGAAGAAATCAATCTACGGATTGAAGCAAGCTTCAAGACAGTGGTATTTAAAGTTTGATAGAACGATAAAAGGTTTTGGGTTTGAAGAAAATGTTGAGGACAATTGCGTTTATGCAAAGTTCAGGAATGGAAAGTACATATTCCTAATTTTGTATGTGGATGATATCTTGCTTGCTAGTAGTGATATCAATCTGCTAATGGAAACGAAGAAATTCTTGTCCTTAAACTTTGATATGAAAGATCTCGGTGAGGCCTCGTTCGTTTTGGAAATAGAGATTCACCGAGACAGGAGAAAAGGGGTTCTAGGATTATCGCAAAAGGCATACATAGAAAAGGTCCTGAAGAAATTTAGTATGCATGCGTGCAGTCCTTCACCTGCTCCTATAGTCAAGGGCGATAGATTTGGGGAACATCAATGTCCCAAGAACCAATATGAAATTGACCGAATGAAAGCGGTACCGTATGCTTCAGCTGTTGGAAGTTTACAATATGCTCAAGTGTGTACACGCCCTGACTTAGCTTTTGTTACCGGGTTACTTGGCAGATATCAAAAGAATCCAGGAATTGAACATTGGAAATTAGTGAAGAAAGTCCTGCGTTATTTGCAGGGTACGAAAGGCCTCATGCTTACGTATAGAAGATCTGATTCCCTGCAGATAGAGAGGTATTCAGATTCTGATTATGCGGGAGATGAAAGAAAATCCACGTCAGGATATGTATTTACTCTCGCAGGAGGGGCTATATCGTGGAAAAGCTCCAAACAAACCGTGACTACATCCTCGACAATGTATGCCGAGTTTATAGCATGCTATGAGGCAACGGGGCAGGTGAATTGGCTGAAGAAATTCATACACGGATTGAAAGTGATTGATGATATAAATGAACCACTGAGATTGTATTGTGATAACAATCCAGCGGTACAGTATGCTCACAACAATAGGTCAAGTGGTGCTGCCAAACATATTGACATAAAGTACTATGTTGTGAAAGATAAAGTTCGGGATCATATAATAAATCTTGAGCATATAAGTACAGAGATAATGCTCGCGGATCCGCTCACAAAGGGCTTATCACCCAACGTGTTCAGAGAACACGTAGCCAGCATAGGTTTAAGGGAAAGCCTATGATTCCCGAACATACGAAGGGCCCAAAGAAAGTTTACATTTCAAAACGGAGAAGTGTATTGTGGCTGTTAGTCTAACGGCACTAATTGCTGTATCGATGGGATAGTTCTATGCACTAATCTGTGATGAAATAGGATGGAAGCAAGAAAAATATGAATTGAAAGTTTTGAGTATGAAATTAAAGAACGAAGAATAGATGAGAGATCAAGGGGGAGAATGTTAGAATTGATCTCCCACCAGTTAGGCCCCTCGCGCCCTGATCAGAGGCGCCCAACCCTACATGGTTGGTGGGCCCACGTCGCACAGTGCTATAAAGGAAAGGTGGGGGCCGGGGCTCGCAGTACGAGGTTCACCGCGCCGCCAGTCACCCCACCGACATCCTAACCCTAGACCCGATCTTGAGAAAGGGCGCTGCCAGCGACGGGAAGCACCACCGACGCCGGCAACGCCACCCCGACGCACACGTCGCCGCTGAGGATGCCACAGCGCCGACTCCCTCTCCACCGAATGTCGCTGCCGGCGCGCAGATGGCGTCCGTCAACGAAAACCAGGCCGGAGCTTCGACCACTATGGCTTTTGATGGTTTGCAACCTATCACCCCCTTTCTCTCTGTCTCTCTGTGATCCTGAACACCTATTCCTACTACCAATACATCCCGATCTAATGAACATGCCTAAAAACGAAATCTAATAGCCCGGACAGCGTGCAGGAGAGAGCGCCGCCACAGTCGCCCGTCTGGCAGCTCCCGCTGCCGCCGTTGAAGGCGCACCCCGTCCGGCCCCACACCCTGTCGGACTGGGTCCCCACCGGCACGTCCACGGTCCACGTCTGACCCGGGTCCAGCTGCGTGCCGCCGCCCACTGGTGTGGCCGCCGGCCACACCGTTGAGCCGCAGTTGTTGGTGATCGTGAATGTGGCTGCTCTCGCGCTGGCTGCGAAGGCGGCGAGGAGGAGCAGGCTGAGGACTGAGGAAGCAGCAGCTCCGGAGGCCATGGATGCTAGCTGCTAGATGTCTACGACGTGTGGCGAGCTAGCTAGAGCTTTGTAGTGTGGAGGAGTTAGGGAAGGATGCATGCCTATTTATAGCTGCGTGGTAGGGGAAGAACGGGGTTTGGAAAAGTCGGGGCTTACGGAATGACAAACTTACCCTTGATGAATTATATCTATCGCCAATTTTGGGTGACAGCGAGACGGTTCAGCTGTTCCATTCTTTCCACCATTTCAGCTAGTGAATGAGATTCAGATATCGCCAAATTTTTAGGTAATTTCCTGTGTATGGACCGTGAATATTGAGATCTCGAAACAGCATATTGGAGTATATTCCAGAGTATAGCAACTGCAGTTTTTTTTGTTTTTGTTTTTGAACTGACAGTATTATTATAGTACTCCAATTTTTAAAACTCTACTTTATTACCTAAAGGTCGTCCTTGAAAGCAAGGAATCATATAAGAACATCAAAAAAAAAAAACTCAATCCGCGGGGGCTATACAGACCCTGGGTAATTTTCTTAAGAACAAGATCTTCTCACGCAGATCGAGTAAACCCTCGAATCTCTACCCTATCCATACACAACGGTACCGCAGCCCATGTAAGACTGGGCTGGACTTTAGACATGCTTTCTTTGGCGAAAAAAATAGTTCAATTTCATATATATGAAAAATACATGATTTAGGGGGAGAAATTAAATCCTTTGTTTAAATATGATTTATATGAAGCTTCGTGCACCACAAACCGGCTCCCCCAAAATAAGTTAGGCAACAGTAGGCGGCATATTTGACTGCAGGAGCATATCCATCGTTGCTTCTTAGAAGTTTGTGGCATGCATTGCGCTGCCGTGTAACATTGGTTAGACTTTGTCGGTATGTAACTCATGTAGAATTCTAATCCTACTCGACCAGGACGTACTGAGACAACACGCATTAACAATGCAGCTGTGTGGCTTGTGTTAAAGTAAATGGGCAAGAGTGCCTAGTTACTTGATTTATTATTATTACGTACATATATAGTGCTAAGAATTAGCATCATATCTCATCATTCTTTTTACACATGAATACTTATGAAAATCAGCCCCTGAATTTTTCTTAGTTTCGGGTTACGGCAGCTGCACGTATTGTATGTTGCGAAATATACCTATACACATTGAAAAAAAAATACAGTAAATTTAAGCTCGGCCGGTTTGCAGTCTTATGAATAAAATGTCTAATATCTGTAGAAGTCATATGGACAGAAATAAATGGAAATGTGGAAATACGTGGTGGCCGGACCTAACTTGGTCGATGCATGGAATGGTCAATAGACCTGCGAGTCTGCAGTCAACCCTTTGGAGAGCTATACTATTTATTTTTCGGGAAATCTCCACGTACACACATGAATATCAGGATTTCATATCCTTACTACAGAAAAACTATTTTTGTCAGCCCATCCACTGCCAAATGTGCTGTAGCGCCATCTTCACTACCGGTCCTAATCATAGGATCAATCAGACAATATATTGAGATCTTATTGAGCCCCGTCAGTGAAACCCCTCACACTCTCAGGTTGAGTCATGAGTCACAGTGATATACCAATACCGGATCTTGACAATATCACTAATAAGGCTTGTTTTGACGCATGTGTATCCATCTCAAGCCACATGTGTTGGAATGGAATGGAAGAGAATTTAGTTTAATTCCACTCCAATTCACTTTAACACATGTGGATTGAGATGAATACATGCTGAGAAGGCTGAGGAAGAAGAGAGACACCCTATAAATCAGCTTTGCATCCGCCACACCAAAGATTAACCGCAGGTCGTGAGCCATAGAGACACATAACGGGCATCATTTTTCCAGTCAGCAGACAATTTGTTGCATTGTTTCTGATTTTTTTTTTGTGTATTGCAAAACAAAGATATGTGGAAAATGGAAAATGTGTGCCTGGTGGACTTGCCAGAGATGATTAAATCCCAGTGCCAGAAATCTACCTTTGGATGCTGAAAAGCCAGGCTGAAAAGTACTGTTTGTTGATTTGTTGTGAGAAAAAACAATGTTACTTCGCTGAAAAAGTACAGCTGATAAGCCAAGCGAACAGGGTGCAAATCTCCGCTGGTCACGGCACCTGCATGCATACACAAGAATTTTGCTCTCTTCTTCCACATACCTTAAATATTTTCCATCAATACTACTGATCTTCTGGAAGCCAATACGCTTTGATTGTATTCACCGTATAATCAGAGTTAGGCCGGGTTTGGATGAGCTAAAGCTAATTGTTTATCTTTTGGAAGTGAATATGTTCATTTTTTTCTCCCCAAGTTCTACAGATATTAGACATTTTATGGAAGAAGACTACAAACCGGCCGAGCTGAAATTGAAAGCTATTTTGTCATGTATGTGTGTGTGTGTGTGTATATATATATATATATATATCACAACAACATACAACCAGCTATAGTAGCCGATAAATATAATATAATATAACCTGAAACTCACAAAATTTCAGCGACTGATTTTCATAATTATTGATGTGCAAATAGAATGATGGTGGGATATGTCAGCAATAATTTTTTTTTTGAACAAGCAAACAGGTGCAACATAAATGTGCTTGTTTGTCAGTCCGGCCTTGTCGCGTAGGATTAGATTTCCAGGTCATCTAGAATTATAGATGAACTTGGTGCTAACAAATTCTAACCGATGTTACACGGCAATACAGTGCATGAATGCCACAAACTTCTATAGGAAGGAACAATAGCATATTCTACACTTGTGGGTCCCGCACACAAACATGCTGCCTGTTATTGCCAAACTTAATCTATACCTAATAATAAAGAGAAAAAAAATTTGGCCATTTTTTTTTGTCCATCCACTTTTTTGTCTGTCTCCCTCAGACATTGAAGAGTTTTTTCCATTTGAACTTATATATAATATATAATATAACCTGTGCTCATACGAGTTAGAATAACTCTTGTCTAGTGCAATACGGTGTCGGATTCTAAAACGTATTGGGTCGTGTTATTGTGTGTGTGGCCTGGAATCATGCTCATATGTTGGTCCGTCAGCTCATTCTAATATGTTTTTAGATCCAGATACATGGTTAATTACTATCAATGAGTTCAAATAGGAGTGCATTTGTGGTGCTATTTGTTTTCCTATTTTTCTTTTCCTGTGAGACTAATCTGACTTCTAAACTTGGGACAAAAAAAAGAACAAAAACTTTAGACAAAAAAAATCTACCGACAAAAGAAAAAGATCAGAGTCCGAGAAAAAAAAACAGAAGAAGGAAAAAGGAAAAAAACATCGGACAAAAACTACAGAAAAAGGAAAGCGGGAAAGAAAAAACATTAAAGAAAAACAACAGAAGAAGAAAAATCCTAACAAACATCGGACAAAAACAATCTACCGAGGAAAAAGCCGAACATAGAAATAGGAACGAGCATGTGAAATAAAAAACAAAAAAAACTAAAACTAAAGAACTCTTGTTTAATATTTCCGTAAGAAAGGTAGAACCTACAAATACATCTCTATTTGATTAGAATTTCTATTCAAATTTAGGATCGGAGATATCTATTTGATTAGGATTTCTAGCTGGCTATATACACTAGTAGAGAAACGATTTTTGATCCACTTCGAAATTTGGCTTTAGTCCCGATATTTTTTCGCGCCCGAACTAGAGAAATCTTTAGTCCCGGTTGGTATCTTAAACAGGGACTAAAGTTCCCTGCCCAACGGCTACTGCGGCAGGTTTTTGCTGCAGGAGACATTTAGTCCCGGTTGAAGCTATCAACCGGGACTAAAGGTTAACTTTTACTCCCGGTTGGTCCCTCCAACCGGAAGTAAAAGTCTACTCGCGGCTGGAGGCTCCGTCCGAGACTAGAAAGGGACCTTTAGTCCCGGTTGTTGTCTCCAACCGGGACTAAATGTCCCCTCCTATATACCCCTTCTTCCTCCTCAAGCCTGAGCCACTTCGAGCTCAGTGTTCTTACTTCATCGCCGGCCTCTTTTCTTTCTCATCGCCGGTAATCACAAGATTTCTTCGATTCCTTCATTGATTCTTCGGTTCTAAAGGTTACCAACTTTATACTCTCATATTTTATCAGTAGCATATCTCATTTTGTGGACTAGATATATGTATTTTTTTATGGTGGATTTTTTTTATTTGTAAGCCATTTAAGCTCAAAATCACTTTAAAGTTTACATATTAGGATGAAGGAAGGTTAAAGTAGTTATTCAAAACTAGTATTCAGCTTTCATTTCTAGCATGCATAGCACACTTCATGGTTTAGAGATATAGAGAATTTTAGAGTTTTTTTAATTTTATTTGTTTATAAAATGAGAAATTTATATTATATTAAAAATGAGTATAGAGAGTAGATGGCAACTGTTTCTGGGTCCTCGGCCTCTCATCAGGTTCCAAAACGACTGAGGTCGGACCTCCCTCTCATTGCATGCGGCGAATGTGAGAAGAAGATTGTGATGGAGTACCGGGTGAGGAAGGAGTATCCCAACAAGGTCCGTATCTTCTACAAGTGTCCGGATCGCAATGTGAGTTATTTTGTCGCATTTGATGATTATGGTTAATTTATACTTATTTTCATGATGATTGTGATTAAAGTTCTAATTTTTTGTTTTAATTTTAGTGGGATGGCACTGGGTGTTCACGCTGGTACTAGGAGGAAGAGTATGTTGAACACGTGCAAAACTCTCTTGCACAGGCGGCTACGGCGGCTGATGAGGCAGTGATCCTACGGAAGAAGCTTATAGATGTTGAACAAACGCATGATCTATCTGTTTTAGTTGTGATTGGTCGCGAAATCCTTATGCTGTTGAAGTGCATTTTAGCTTTAGTTTTTTAGTGGCAGTTAGGATTGTCTACATTGTAGCAAGACTTTCATAAATTAATACCTTGTGTGGTGGCATACATGTCGTATAATTAACTAATTATGTTCTAGGTTTTAATATGGTATGTATGTCATGTAATGCAGATGAGCCGGCATTGGATGTACAATGCTGATCGCCTCT